AACCTGACAGGATTTTCACTGCCACAGCTCATTTAGGGCCAAATCTCACCAGGGCCAAAAGACCCTCTGCCTCTTTGTCTGGTTCTGAGTTTAATACAAAGTGCTAGTCTTGTTTTAGAAAGTCCTCGGTGGCTTGAGGCTCCTTCTGCTCCCCTGGTCTCCTCTGTGGAGACTTTTCTCCCTCTCCTTTCCCTTCTTCCTGGAGGTGCAGTGGGCGACAACAACTAATGGCCAGGAGGAAAATATTTTGCTCTTCACAGACTTTAAATAATTTTTCAGGACTTTAGACATTGCTGGATAGCTTTGTTATGTGGTTTTAAACCACCCTTGAACGAATTTAGGGAGATGCTGGCATGAAAATGAACAAATAATGAAAGCAGCTGCTTGAGGCAGCCCTTCGGGAAGGAGGCAGCCATTTTGTCTCCGTTTCTGCTTCACTGCCAGCCCTCCACAAAATGGCTTCCGTCCCCGACAAGCAGGCCGGGTGGGGCTGCCTCAGCCTCCCCGCTTCCCTCCCTGCAGAGGAGACCTTTGGTGCAAGGGAGAGCAGCCAAACAAGGCAGAAACCGGAAGCCACAGCAGCCCACAGATACAGGTTGCCTGACTGGGAGATTGGCAGGCAGAAATGGCACTCAGGGGAAGACGTTTTCTTTCTCCCCACAATGTCCCTCAGCGCCCAGATGGGGAGACCTTTGGCATTTCTCCCTCTTGGCCTGGCCTGGGCCCCCTCCAGCCTTGGAAAGACCCGTCTCCCTCAGCATGAAGGACAAAACCCTGAGCCTCCACAGCTCTCTTCCTCAAGGCCAAGTGGCCAGGACTCCTGGGTCCCCTTTGGGAGGAGACTCGGCAGGAGCCCGGACTCCTGGGTCCCCTTTGGGAGGAGACTCGGCAGGAGCCAGGACTCCTGGGTCCCCTTTGGGAGGAGACTCGGCAGGAGCCAGGACTCCTGGGTCCCCTTTGGGAGGAGACTCGGCAGGAGCCAGGACTCCTGGGTCCCCTTTGGGAGGAGACTCGGCAGGAGCCAGGACTCCTGGGTCCCCTTTGGGAGGAGACTCGGCAGGAGCCAGGACTCCTGGGTCCTGTTTCTGGCAGGCAAAAGGCATTGTCCTCTCTAGCTGACTCTGCCTTCAAAAAATGAATATTTATATCCAGGTGGCATTCATGTTCTCCTCATTAACGCCCCTGACAGGCCCAAGGTCCCCGAAGGAGCTACATGGCTGCATGGGGATTTGAACCCAGGACTCCCAGGCTCCCATATCCCAGTCAAACCACAGCTCCACACTGGATCCTTGCAGGCTTCTCCACCTCTCAAGACTAGGCCTGCAGGGACATCTCTCCTGACGTTGTTTTTGTCCCCTTCTTGGTATCGTGCGGAAACAGCAATGAGTCTTCTTGCCCCTTAAAGGCTAAGAAATAGATTATGGCAGAAAAACGTCCTTGGTGTGGTTCTCTGTTCCAAACTGGATTGTTTCCCAGGGGACTTTGCCCCCTTCTGCCTCCCTCAGCAACCTCTGAGTCAGGTGGGAAAGTCCCAGGGCAGTTCCCAGAACAAGACCTTTTTATTTTTAATGTTTGTTTTCATTTTTACTTATAAGATGAATAGCTGAGGGTGCAGTAAACAGTCTTTGGCAAGTTCCAATAATCTAAATTTTGTTTGCATGCCAAGCTAGCAAAGGAATCTCAGGCTGCTTGACTGACATTTCTCACAGGAATTGAAGAACGGAGGCAGATTTTGATGAGAAATTACTCATCCTCCATTAACACTGTGTTTGTTTCCTGTCCTCATACTCTCTCTGTGCCACAAGACACCCTCACCCATTTCTCCAGTCCCTAGTTGTCTTTTCTCACTTTCCCCTTTTTGCGATCCTCCGCTGCCCCCTGCTGGCTGCTTTCTTCCCCAGCTGAAATGGAAATCAGGTGATTTCTAGGAAATCCTTCAAGGAACCAGTTGAAGCAAGTCACGGGTTGCAAAAAAAATGGTCAAGGTTCCCACATATGTCACAGATTTGGAATCGGTGCAAGTGGGTGTATGCCTACCTATGGTGTGGGAAAGCGGAAATATATAAAACTTTTACAAATCATGTAATCAGAAAAAACCTATTTAGAGTATGGGGAAAGTATAAAAACATATTAGAAAGAAAAACACCACTGTGGATATCCCCAGTGGAAGCTACAACCAGGAAAATAATAAATATGGATAAGCAGTGGTTAACTTACAGTGAAATTTAATCTCTTACGGGACAGGAACCAAAACTGAGAAATCTCGAGGAATCAAGAAATCTGGTTACCAATTAGCTACAGGTACATCACATTAATGAATTGTTTAAGATAGATAGGAAAAATGGCTTTGCAGAACAAAAGTCTCAGTTTACCAAAGACCTATTAGATACAAATGTAAATGAATTATCAAATATGTACAAGTGGGAAACGAAAGATAAATTTGTGAAATTTAGCAGGATTAAGTGGGCACAGGATGTGGGTCACAGTATCAATCATGAATTATGGGAAAAGTTGTGGAAAATAAATATGAATTTTATGGCAAGTTATGCGATAAAAATATATATGATGAAAATGGCCCACAGATGGTATTTAACACCCACCAGATTGGTGAAAATGTCTAAACAAGAAAAAGGTATATTTTGGAAGTGTAATGAAATTGAGGGATCTTTTATTCACATGTGTTGGTCGTGTAAAATAATTAAGGGATATTGGGAAACGATATAAAATGAATTTAAAAAGATACCTAAAAAGACTTTCCCCAAAACACCTGAGTTTTTCCTCTTGGTGATGGTAACAATGGAGGTCCCCCAAAAACAAAAGTTTATTACTATGCACCACTGCCACAGTTAGAACCTTATTGGCACAAAGGTGGAGAACAAGGATAGTACCCACTCAGGAAGAATGGCAGTGTAAAATGTTTGAATGTACTGAACTAGCTGGTCTGACAAACAGGATAAGAGAAAACAGATATAAGGAATATAAGGAGGAATGGATGTTGTTTCTTGAATATTTCAAGAACTAATATAGAGGAAGACATAGCTTAGCAGGTCTCGTATAAATCCAGCAGTTGAAATAGATGAGAGTATTTAATAGATAACAAATTGGATGATTAAAAAGATGTGGATTACGCAGAGTAGTAGAAAAGCAAAGGAACCAGGAAAAGTGTGGAAGGAAAGTCATATGGTATATGTATACATGCTGTATTTGGTATGAAGTTGTAAGTGGGACGAGGGAAGGAGAGAGGGGTTAAATATGCTCTCTGTTCCTGTTTTTGAAAATGCAAATATTTTTTTTAAAAAACTGATCCCCTCTCCACGGAGACGTTTTCAAGGTGGGCACCCCCCCACACACAGATGGAGGAGCTGCTCAAATGTTAACATACGTCTCAGTCTACAACCTTTTAAGATTATACAATAAAATTATAATGGTACAGGAATAATTTGGGATGCTTTGCAACCATCAGTTCAGTTCTCCATGTGTTGCCTAGACGTGCTATTATCTGTGCATGTACATGTGCAAATGATTGTGCAGTGCTCCAATGTCGCCTTGATGCACCTTCGCCGCATCAAGCAGTTGGTCCCTTACCTTTCCCGCCCCGCCCGGCCCCAGTGATCCATGTGATGGTCACCTCCAGGCTTGACTACTGTAATTCGCTCTACATGGGGCTGCTCTTGAAGCTGTCCCAGAAACTCCAGCGGGTGCAGAATGCTGCAGCGAGGCTCCTCACGGGATCTCTGCCATGGCAGCATATTCACCCAGTGCTTTTCAAGCTGCTCTAGCTCCCAGTGGAGTATTTAGGGTTATATATAAGGTGCTGTTTTTTGACCTTTAAAGCCTTTCATGGCCTAGGACCCTCATACCTACGGGACCGCCTCTCCCGGTATGCCCCACGGAGGACCTTAAGGTCCATAAACAGCAACACCCTAGAGGTCCCGGGCCCTAAGGAAGTCAGATTAGCCTCAACCAGAGCCTGGGCTTTTTCAACACTGGCTCCCGCCTGGTGGAACGCTCTGTCTCATGAGACCAGGGCCCTGCGGGATCTGATTTCTGTCCACAGGGCCTGTAAGACAGACTTGTTCCACCTGGCCTTTGGCTTGGAGTCAATTTGATTCCCTCCTCCTCTTTCTTTTTTCCTTTCTCCTCCTGTGATGAGGCTGCATTTTAATTTTTCAATGTTTTAATGTTGTATTTTAATCTTGTTTTTAAGTTGTATTCATTCAACTTGTTTATATAATTGCTTGTTAGCCGCCCTGAGCTCGGCCTAGGCTGGGGAGGGCGGGGTATAAATAAAATTTATTATTACAGTAGTAGTATTGTTATTAAGTGGTGTTTTCTGTGAAGTCCCATTGTACGTAGCATAACTCACACACCAAGGCCAGCCCAATACATTTTGACACCTGAGGCAGGCCCCAAAATGGCCTCCCACTCCCCACCAGGGAAGAAGGGGTGAGGGAAGATTTCTATTCAGGGCGGATGGAGAAAAAATACCTTATTTTAATTTTAAATTTTTTAAATGGTATTATTTTAACATTTTGAGGTTTGCTGCCCTGAGCTCCTTTGGGAGGAAGAGTGGGATAAAAATTTAAGACAAATTAAATATTTTGGGCAACTTCTCAGTGGGAGAACTTCCTCCTGGGTTTGTGGACTTTCAGGGCAACCCTGCCTTGGTCACCCCCAACCACACTCTGCCCCAGATCAGATATCTACACATTTCTTTTATTATATTCCCAACCATCCTTTCTTTCGTACTGGAACCAAAGGCAGCATCCAGGTGGTTCCCCAATCCAGGCACTGCCCAGACCTCAGACACTCTTGGCCTCATATAACCTAATCCCACCCCTGCAAAACCACAGATTATGATCCCATCTCACTTTGGACACTAGTTCTTCAGTCATTTTGCAAGCGAAGAATAATTATTGGCATCTCCCTGCCAGAGTCTGTGAATATTCTCAGGAACTTCAAAATCTCTGGAACTCCTGTGATAAGGTGGCAAGAACCACTAAAGACAAAGGGGGTGCACCCTTATTTATTTAAGTCAAACATATATTACAAAAGTAAAAAAAAAATTACATCCAGTGTCTTCAAAGCAAGGTGCAGCAAATCCATTGGGTTGGGCGAGAAGATTCCTGCAGCCCCAGGAGGTCTCCTTGCTGGCTTCCTCCTTGCCTTCAGCAGGATCAGTCCCTCTCATCTCCTGCAGGAGAGTCACTACACCCCATCCCCTCAGCCTCTCTACCTCTTTCTCAGTTCCCTGCTTCTCCATTTCCCCCTTCAGCTGCTTCTTCCTCCCTCTCCAGCCTGTTTCTCAACTCACTGCCCCAGGGCATCATGGGAGGTCCAGGGTGGAGCCCCAGAGAACAGCAGCTGGTTGTCCTGGACGTGGAGCTCCATGAACCAGGCTGGAGAACTGGAGCCTTGAAGGTATCGGGACAGAAAGAGGGTCTGGAGGAAACTGCCTCAGCAGCTGCCATTGCCATGAGGAAGGTCCGAATGCCCCCTGGAGCTCCTCATTCTCTGCTCTGCCTGAGGATGTTTGAGAAGAGGCCTCAACTCCAGCAGAGGTCACCTCTGGACCACTCTGGATCTAGTCAGACAGGAGAGTGAGGTTCTGGGGATGCAGGAGGTGACCCAAGAGGGCTGGTGGTGGACGTCCCTCCCATCTGCAGGGGAACCGGAGCATGGCTCTTGGTCAACACGGACAAAACCCCTCCATATCCAGATGTTGTAACTGCATTAAAGGACAGCAGGAGCTCTGAGCCTCTGCAATTCACAGCCAAACTTGGGCAGGCTCCTTCTGGTCTCATCTCACACACCAGGCTGGTATGAAACTGCAGAAATAAAGAACAGGAGGGTTTCAAAGTTGAGCCAACATCATGGTGTGGGGGCATCAGCATTATATAGCTCGTGGGAACCCAAAGGGCATCTAGTCCAGCCTCACAAGGAAAGCCACCATCCCTCATCATGTCAAATGCTAGGAGCACCACCAAAATATGCCTGCAGAGGGCAGCTCAAGCAAGTGAGCCAAGCTGCACTCTTTGGGGGAATACCAGAAGGACACAAAGCAGTCTTACTGGAAGGAAAAATCCCTTCCAAAACCCCTTCCAAGATCTCTCATTCAGATCCTGCGTAGAACCCATTTGACAGATGGAGGGGATCCTCTGTGGAACTCAGAAGAAGAGACAGAATGAGTCACAAGAATGATTTTCAGCTCAATGAACACTGCAGATTATGTCACTCTTGGAAACCCCAAGGGGGGTAACAGGAGCAGATTTTCCCCATTTGAGGATGTTCCCCACGGAGTCTTCTGCAAGAGCCCCACTTTGCCCCCACCTGCACCCCCACTTACCCCGGTGGAGATGTCGGACCCCTGGTCGCTTGCTGCAAAAGGGAGGAAATACAGGAGTCAGGATCCCAGGAAGGGAGATCCCAGCCCTTCTCCTCCCTCCTTCCGACCCCATTCCATATCAGTCTCAATATGGGGAGGGGCCTAAGAAGAGTTCAGGGACAGGCAGCCCAGAGGCAAGGGGGCTCAAGGACAGGATTAAGGAACATCCGAAACAGCATTTAAGGACAGGAGGAGCTCTGAGCCTCTGCAATTCACAGCCAAACTTGGGCAGGCTCCTTCTGGTTTCATCTCACACACTGGGCTGGTATGAAACTGCAGAAATAAAGAACAGGAATGTTTCAAAAGCCAGCATCATGGTGTGGGGACATCAGCATTACAGAGCTAGTGGGAACCCAAAGGCCGTTTAGTCCGGCCTCACAAGGAAAGCCACCCTCCCTCATCATGTCAGATCAGACATGAGATATGCCAGGAGCATCACCAAAATGGGCCTGCAGAGCAAATGCCTGCAGAGGGCAGCTCCAGCAAGTGAGCCAAGCTGCACACTTTGGGGGAATACAAGAAGGACACAAAGCAGTCCACTGGAAAGAAAAATCCCTTCCAGAACCCCTTCCAAGATCTCTCATTCAGATCCTGCATAGAACCCATTTGTCAGGTGGAGGGGATCCTCTATGGAGCTCAGATGAAGAGACAGAATGAGTCACAAGAGCTATTTTCAGCTCAATGGACACTGCCGATTATATGAAGCTTTTCCCCATTTGAGGATGTTCCCCACGGAGTCTTCTGCAAGAGCCCCCCTTTGCCCCCACCTGCCCCCCCCCACTTACCCCTGGCGGAGCAGTCGAGCCCCTGGTCTCTTACTGCAAAAGGGAGGAAACACAGGAGTCAGGATCCCGGAGAGGGAGATCCCATCCCCCCAGCCCTTCTCCTCCCTCCTTCCACCCTCATCCCAAATCTGTCTCAATCGGGGAGGGGCCTAAGAAGAGTCCAGGGACAGGCAGCCCAGAGGCAAGGGGGCTCAAGGACAGCAGTGGGGGGGAGAAGCAGGTCCTGTGGGGCAAAGAGAGATGGGCACAGCCTGGCATGGAGGCAGCAGGGGACTAGAGCAGGGGTGGCTGTGATTTGGGAAGGAAGGGGCAGAAAGGCAGAAGGGGGGGAGAGCAATGGTGGGTTCCTGACACCCACAGACTTGAGCCATCCAACCAATTCTTTAGCTTCAGGTTCTAGTAGATTAAACCCCCAGAGATCCCTCTCTCCCCGCACCCTCGGCTCCTCCTCCTTCTTGGAGCCCCTCCCTCAGCCGACAGTCTCTCTGCAGCCTTTTCCTGGCCCTGAGGGACCCCTTGCTGTCCACAGACAGGCTGAGCAGACAGGCTGAAGCTTCCCATCAGGGTCTTGGGCTTCAGGACCAGGCCACCACCAGGTTTGGTTTGGTCTGTTTGTAACCTGTTCCTGCTCCATATTGGGGGGAAATATGTCAGACAGAGAGAGGGGAGAAGTCACTCATTTGGGGTTTCTTCGTAGGCTGATTTCCCTGTGAAGACAAAAGCAGAAGGTCAGAGCTGGAAGGGACCTCCAGAGGCCACACAATCCTATTTCGACCATTTGGCTCTCAGATGCTGAAACCTTCCCAGCAGAGGCTCCTCTTGTCTCTTCCACACACCTCCAAGGAAGGGGAGCCCAGAAGGGGAGCTTTTCAAGGAACTCATGTTACAAAGAAGTAGAAAGAATTGAGGAAATTAAATCAGAAGATCAACATGGGGAAACCAGGCAGTGGACAAATTCCAAGAGGGTGGAAGGAAACATTATCCAGTCCCTTCATTCATTTTTGGATTATTATTTTGGTGATTCCCCAAATAAAAATGCAAAATGAGAGCACAAAATACATAATAAAACAAAAACAAACCAGTAACTCACATTTAAAAGGCCCAAGGCCTGGTTCGAGAGAAATGTTTTTGCCTGGCGTCTAAAGATATGTAAGAAAGGCTGCCTGCTAAGTGAGTACAGGACTGATGGATTAAAACTTCAGGTGGGAAGAGAATTTCCTGAGCACAAAGGAATGGCCAACAGGACTTTGGGTTCATGTTCAAAGGGTGTATAAGGGGAGGGGTCTCTATAGGGATGCCAGCGACAATTGCCAGGAAGCTCCACCAGCACATTCCCAGTCGGAGGCCGAGACAAAAGGACACAGGAGAGGCAGCAAAGACATCCAGGGTTTACTTACTGCGGATGAAGAAGATGATGATCCCAGAGACCAGCAGGATAGCAGCCATGACACCCAGAATGGCCCCCACAATGAGCCCCAGGTTGACTAAAAGGGGACAAGAGACATTTTTATTCAGACTGGCGGCGGCAGCTCCCCAAGGCCTCAAGCAGGAGATTTGAGTGGAGGTGCTGAGCTATGAGCCCAGGAGGATTTTACGTGTGCAAAGCAGGGACTCTTTCTGCCTCCTGACAGGCCAAGGTCCTCTCTGTAGTGGCCCCAACACAAGGGAGTATTTTTCCACCAGAGTCCAGCATTAGAGGTCTTAAAAACCCACAATTTATTTAAGGAAGACAGTTGACAGGCACATCTCCCCTGCCTGTGTGAGTCTTTGGCTCCAGGGCCGCTTCCATAATTCTCGCTTGCCTGCCTGTGAGAAGGAGTCTGGGGTGTGGGTGGGGATGTGCGTTCATGTGCTCCTGCTGGGGAAAAGGGAGTCTTGCTCTTAGACATTCTGCTTTGGTTCCTGCAGGCGCAGCTTTCCTGGTGGTGTGTGACAGACGAGCATTATTACAAAACCCTTCTTGCTCTTTCCAGCGGTGTGCGGGTGTTTGGGCTGAGTGGAGATGAGTATCAGTTTTTCTAGTTGGAACGAGTGTGAGGAGGAGCGAGTGAGAATCTTTTTCACTGTGAAGTACAGTCAGTCTGGGGATCCCTCTTTTAAGTTCACTGCCCCTTTTTCAGTCACAGTGACTGTGAGTAAATTTCATTTTGAAGAAGTAAAATATGTATCCACATTCTTTGACATCACAACTACTAGGGCTTAAAGGCAAGAAGGTGATGGCCAGTTTTTACCTATAACATCCAATTTGAGTTCAAGGCCTATGAGACCCTTGCCAGAAAAGGCTGAATCTCTGCTGAAATCTACAGATTCCGATTCAGTTGCTTCCCTCCAGAGACACAGACAGGATCCAACTGGGGTTCCCCATCTGAGGAGTTGGGTGGAAATCCCCCTCCCAGAGCCCACCCCTTCCCCTCCTGTCTGTCTGTCTGTCTGTCTCTCACCAGGCTCCTTCTCCCAGGCCACGTCCAGAGGCTTCTCCAGGCTGTCATGCTCCACGCGACACCGGAAGCGCTCCCTCTCCTCGGGGTCGATCTGGACACTGAGCAAGACATAGTAGGTCCCGTCCGAGTTGGGGGCGACCAATCCTCGGAGGGTGCCCTCCTGCCACACCTCCCCGTCCTTCACCCAGCTGGCATCAATCTCCTTGGGGTAGAAGCCGTGGACTTGGCAAACGAGGGTCTCCAGGCCGTCATAGTCTGCCTTCCTGGTCACCTTCACCACCGGAGCCTCTGCAAAAAGGGCCGCATTGGGGTTAACAGAGAGACATCCACAACAGGAGCTGAAGGAATCCTGTATTTTTAAGAGCAGAGCAGCAGGGACCCAAGGGGCAACCTAGTCAGAATCTCACATCTGCAGAAATATTTTTAATTTAACTGTGAATAAATGGGATTCCTCAACCTCCCTTGGCATCTTCCCCAGTCTGTGTCTATGTTGGAACTGTTTTTAGATGTTTACCAAAGCAGACTCCTTTGGAAGGGAGGATTGGTGCAAATTAAATTAATTTATCATCTTGATAAAGCTCTAGCACTACTCAAACATGACAACTTGGGGTTCCAAGATTGTCCCAGGGAGCTGCCTCTAGGCTGAGGGGCAAATTTCAGCAGGTCCCCAATAGTGGGATGCATTCAGATCCTTCCAGGTTGCAAGTCATGAACTGATCCTGGTTTCTCTCTTGAGGGGGAAGAAATGCTGGACTCACTGCTCTCTGTTCTCCGGGACTTTTCAGCTCCATGGTTAGTGAACAAAGCCAACAGCCCTGGGAAAGACAGAGCTCCTTTCTAATTCTCACGCCTGCCCTGAAAGGGTCCCTTGAGGTTGGAAAGGGCCCATCTCCCTTCTCCACGGCAGCCTCCCCTGGAGTGGAAAGGGCAGACCAGGAGGCCCAGTAAGCCAGCAACTTACGCACATTTAACTGGTGCAAATACAGCTTCACGCACTTGCCAAAAATATTCTAAAAACCAAAAGGAGGAGGCGGGCGTCTGAATCCAATGTGTTTTGAATATACACAATTTTGGCTTTAGGCACGATTCACAGAATGTAACCCTTGTTCAAAAACTGGCTCCCTGGGTAGCTGTTGTCTGAAGGGGCTGTTCCAGGATCCCACCCACTTTGCAGTGCCTGGACTGGAAACTCGGTCTAGGAGGGGATGTGACTCTGCTGGGGGGAGCAGGAAGGAAGAAAGGTCAAACCCTTTCCCCACAGAAGCCCAAAACAAGACCTCCCCTTGCCCCCCTCACCTGTCCTCAACAGAACCTCTGTCCCAAAGATGATGATTCCCAGCCTCCTTTGCACGTTGTCACCCTTGAAAACGCTTCATTGTGGCTTTTGAGGTGAAATCCTCAACCTCAAGAAATATGCTCAGTGTCTTTGGGGTAAATTATCACCAGGCCCCCATAGATGAATTTGCTCAGATCTCTCTAAACACGGCTAATACGTATGTGTCATTCCTCAAAAGGGAAAGGTGCTAGAATTAATTTATTTTAAATTAATGTTAATATCATCAAAGCTAATAAAGAGAGACAGGAAGAAAGCCAGTCCAAACACTTGATCATGTGACTGGCCCATGTGCCAGATTCCTGAAGGCGGAAGAGTGGACTGTACCATTTCAAGGCACGGGGTTGGGGAAGATGACACTTCTGAATGTTCCCCATGGGAAAAAGTAAAATTCATCACAAATAAAAGATATAAGAAGGTAGAAGAGGGAATTCCCATACTCTCTCACTATGTGCAGGTTTTCTGCTTCTAGGCCACGAGTGGCTAAACTACAGACTTAGTGAGGGAGCTGCATCCATATTTCATGGCTCCCCACACATTTTCTATTTTTAAAAAAGGTTAATTAATTTAGTTTTGAATACTTTTTAGCGTGGCCAACTAAAAAATTACGTGAAATGTAAAAGTGTTCCAATGCTGTTTTTCGTCGTTTAGTTAAGATTTAAAAATACCGAAGGTAAATTATCCCACTCAGTAATCAGGATTACACGCGATTTTTTAAATAAGTTCAGTGGTTGTATTAGAAATTGTTAGTTTTCTGAAAATGTGTGTTGGGGCACTTTGATACACTAAGACACGGGGCACATTGATACGTATAAAAGTGCCCCGCTAGTGTACAATAGTGCCCCAATATACAAGTTTACAAGAAATCTCTAAACTAATTTCCTACCTATGAAATTTGAAAAGAAAAAAACTGTTGTTTACTATGTGGCCAAAGTCATTTCTAAATATAATATATGACCGATTATCAAGTGTCATATCTGAGGAAATATCCAGGATCTTGTATGTTTGTCTTCCCCATTGTAGAAGATAAGGCAAGTGTTGATTTCAAGGATGCTGTTTTGCCAAAACCAAATTTCTCAAAGGACACATCTCGAACATCATCTCTATACTTTTTCTTTTGACTTCAGTGGATATAATGTGCAATTAGCATTTTGTTTAAATTATAAGCATTTTGTTTAAATTACTATTTTTTGACTACCTAATGTGAGTTCTTATAATTTTTAAAGGGCTGATTATGATCTCTCACAATAAAAATTGTTGGTTTTTTTTGGTTTTTTTGTAAATAATTGCCATTCTCATACAATTTACTCTTTTTATCAAAGTGCCCCATCCACTGTATCAAAGTGCCCCGTAGGTGGGGCAGAATGATACAAAACCCATTGTCTACTCAAGTCATTATGTTCTCATTATCTTCAAACTTTAATGGTTCTTTTGATTGCTATTATAATATTGATTAGTTATGCCATGCATAAAGCAATTTTTTTAATTATTTGAATCATTTTGGTACATAAAATATGAGATTGAATTTTTCTGCATCAATCTGCCCCACTTTCCCCTACCCAAGTGTAAAGGCAGAAGGTTGTTCTGTATCCGACCTCAAATCTGCCCATTTCAATTTTATTTTTTTTACTGAATTTAAAATGCATTTTGCTTTCCTGGCCCCTTCCCTGCTGTTTCTTTTTGCCCCCTCCTCCTGTTTGTCTTTTGCCATCCCTTATTCTAGCCAAAGGGGCATGGGGGGCTGTTTTTAAGCATCTCTCCCCCCCCAATCATACTCTAAAGTAACCCCTTTTCTCCTCCCAGTCCCAAACTTCTTTCTGCCTCCCCCACCAAGAAGAGTGTTTACTTTCAGAAAGGAAGACTGTTGGGGGGGGGGGAATTTGTAGGGAAACTGCCCCACTGAGCCCCCTCCCCTCCCCCCTCACCTGTCCTCAGCAGAGTCTCCTTCCCGTACTCCAGGTATCTCTGCAGCCACTCAATGCACTCCTCCTCCAGGTAGTGCTTCGTGTACTGGTTCCTGGCCAATTCAGCATCCAACTTCCTCTTGCTCACTTGGGCCCCCATATCGGCTGCCGTCCAGGTGAGGGTCTCCTTGTCGAAGGCGATGAAGTCTCTGCCATCATAGCTGCCCTGGTAATACCCTCCTTTGCGCCCGTCTGACCTCAGCTCACAGCCATACATCTGCTGAAGGGTGTGGATCCCTGGAAGGACCAGAAGAGACCCAGAAGGTCAAGGGGGGTCAGAGCAGCCCCTCCCCCCCATCAGCAAAGAAGCCCAGGAAAAAGGATTTATTTGCCTCAGACTCAGGGAAGAGGCAGCAGTCAGAGGGGAGAAAAATCAACCAGCATTGTATCTTTCTGAAGACTCATCCGCAGAACACGTTCACTGAGGTGAACACTACAATCCTGAGCCTATGAAGCCCCCCTTTAATTGCCCCGCTCTCTCTCATCACCTCAGTTATTGTTTTAGTGCTGGGACACCTGTGGTGCTGTTAGGGGCAGGGCTAAAGTCCTGAAGCAGGGAGCCTGCTTAGGTAGTGAGGAAGCTTATGTTACGGTAAAATCTGGGTGTGAGGCTGCTCTGCCACCCAGCTCGTCCGACTAAGTCTGTGGGTCCCTGCGGAGGAAAATGAGCTCAGCCGGAGACAGGAGCAAGCTGCAGAAGATCCAAGTTTATTGCACAACAGGTTCAAGGCGAGATTGAACCCCGAGAAAGGGGTGACAGGAGTTTTTGAAACTTCCCTCCATGTCCCAGAATACAGTGCAAAATACATCATAGTTACATCATGAATACATTAGAGAGAGGTTGGGTTACACAGATTAACCTCTGGAGGAGGGAGGGGGAATATGCAGAGCTGGAGATAAGTGCTTCCTGAGTACCGGTGATGAGAAGACAATAGTCCAAGTATGTAAAGTCTGCCACCTGGCATTGTCCAGAGGAAAGGTTGGGCAGAGTGATTTGACCAGATTAGGGTCTTCCTGAGTACGTGACTCCTCGCTCGAGGGATTATGGAGGCAGAGGAGGTGTCATGGAGTCCTGAAGAAACTGAGTCGATCGACACCAAAAACAAGGAAATTGGAGCTGCAGTTGATTTTATACGAATTTTAGAAGTTTTTAGTCCGTTTCAGTCCATTCTTATATTGATAATTGAAGTCGGAAACAAAACAGATACATTGTTGCAAGATTTGACACTTTTATGGGTTCGCGAGTTTCGGTTCCATTGTTCTCCCAGCGGGGAGCTGTCAGCAGCTTGTCAAGAGGTTAAATGAGGTGTGCAGGAGCTCGCTGAGCTAGCTCTGCAAAGCGAATGCATGGTTCTGATTGGGTAGAACACAGCCATTGAAACGAATGGGGGATACAGTTTGATACGGTCTACCCACGATAAAGATGGAGCGAGAGAGAGGCTTAAGAGAAAGAGGCTTAAGAGTTTGGGCTTATTTCGCCCGTGTGGAAAAGGGAAAGGCACTTTAATTTTGGGGCTTGGGGTAGGGTGTGGTGCTTGTGCAACGGTGTGGGGGCTGAGGGGTGAATGTAGGGCTGGGTGCCCTTGAGGTCATCGCCTCGGACCCTCTGGTGACCAGCGGAAGGGTGAAGGAAGGCTCACCCCCCTTCCGTATCACATAGAAGCCTGGAAAGGTGCAAAATCATAGAGAGATCTCCCTCCAGACCCAGCAGAGGCTCCCACTTCTGAAGTTCTGCTCCAAAAATGCAATTAGAGGGGGGAGTCACTCAACTTTGGGATAGACACAAATGCCTCCCCCCACTCTTCCAGCATGCTGGCTCCTTTCACACAACTAACGTCTCAAAAGGACTAACATCTTCTGACTCATTTCAGAAGGAAGTTTAAAAAGCAAAAATGTGTGCCAAGAGGCTTTGGCCAGAGGTCTACCAACTTTTACTGAGTTTAGTGATTCCTGTCGTAACAGTTCCAAGGCTGGTTGAGGAAGGGGGCAGAAATCACCATAACTGGACAAAGGGAGTGAAAGACCTTTCTAAAGGGTCCCTAAGTGCAGACCATTAGAGAATAAAGTTAAGTACAGATGTGAAATAAATGCTGGAGATGTGGGATCTTATGCAGGTTTACTCAGAAGCAAGTCCCATGAAGTTCACTGAGGCTCCTGCCCTCCCAGGTAACTGGCCACACGTTTTCCAACTAAAATGAGATAGAGTGAAACTCCCAAAATAACACAACCCAAAGTGCTTAGACAGCAGATTATTTCTGATATTAATGGGCCTGATCCAGTTCTGGCCTAATGCTCTTTTTGGACACAGGACAGTTAAACATGGCAGCCCCAGTGCTTATGGTTTTAACCATGTATTTGCCACTCTGACCCCCCAAAACCCAGTCCATTTGTGTTCGTTAAAAAGGCTTCTCTTTCAACACTGTGCCAGGGAGAGGGAGGGGCTTGGTGATGGTCAGAAGGGTCAGCCAATCAGCACCTCTGTCTGGGCAACTGGCTTCTCCTTAAGCAGGACCAGAACTCAAGGCTTGCTTGTCTCTGCCTCAGGATCCCCACCCTTCTCTCCCCCCCCCCGAGGAAAATGAACTAGACAGATTTCCACCTCAAAAGGCCTAAGCCAAGCCCAGCGTGGAAGGAGGGCAGGCAATGGAGACATTTCCTTGGTAGGATGTGCAGGTCCAGAGAGTGTTATTCTGGAGGGGGGGTCTGTGCTCTCCAAGTCTCATTCTCTATCCCCCCCCCACACACACACCATCCCAGCCCCCATTAAGACCTTCATTAAGGGAAGGGGAGACACCTCTGCCCTGGTGGAGACCCCCACCCTCCATTTCCTTTCCTCCCAGCAGCCCCCTCCCTGCAATTCTGGCCCTTGGAGGAAACATTATGGGGGGGGGGGGAAGAGGTGACTCTGTTCCTCTCCTGCCTTCCACTCACCTCCGCTCTGGTTGTAGCGATTCTGCAGAGTCTGCAGATCCACCCTGAACACCAGCTCAGAGCCCTGAAGTGTCTGAGTCTCCCTGTGCCAGTACTGAGGATCCTCCTTTTCCACCTTCCTTATCCAGGGGACGCGAGGCAGATACTCCTTAGTGTCACTGTCGTACTGAACATATTGCTGGTCATCCACGTACCCCACAGCGATGAACTGGGGCAGGCCCTGGCCAGGCTCAGACACGGCTGTGTAGAAGTAGCGCAGGGAGTGAGAAGTGGAGCCTGGAAAGGAGAAAAAAAGGGGGCAGAGAGTTAGGGGTCCTGCAGATGAAGGTAGCAGCCTAATCCTGCTGTATTACAGGCAGCAGCCCTAAATTAGGAGATCCAAAGTTCAGCAGGGTTTGGGGGAGTTTGTAGACCTGCCCTTAAACACAGAGGAGGCAGAGCAGAGGGAGCCTAAGAATCAGAGAGTTGGAAAGGGGAGAGGGTATAAATAAAGACTCATAGAGTTGAAAAAGGGATAGGATATAAATACAAGTATCAACAACAATAGCTCATGGAGCAGAGGGCGAGAGAAAGCTCTGCCAGGCAGCACTAAATCTCTGCATGTCTCTGCTGAGGCTCCGTGTGGGGGAGAGAGAGGCCAGCCCCTCCCTTTTGCCCAGGGGGCAGGAATTGCCCCCCACTTGCAAGCGCCAAGCTGATGAGAGCTCCCACAACATGGTCTGAAGGCTCAGGATGCAGGCACCGAACAGAAGCTAAGCAGGCTCAGGTCTGGGAAGTGGATGGAGGGGAGACCAGACAAAGAAAAATCCATATATTGGGAGAACAGGAAGCTGCCTCACCAGACCACTGGTCCAGGTAGCACTGAGTTGTCTGCCCTGACTGGGAGTGGCTCCCCAGGGACTCAGGAAGGGGTCTCTTTCCCAGCCCCCCCCCCCCGAGATGTCAGGTTCTGACCCTCTGCCCTCCCTCCTCTCGTGTGCTGCCTTGAATTATATGGAGGAGGAGAAGTGGAGTATTAAATATGAAAAAATATTATCTCACAGACTTACTGTAATGTACACAAAGAAGAGCTTGCAGGATCTGACCAATGGCCCGTCTAGTTCAGCATCCCATTCATCTGAGGGGCCACTGTGAGAAAGGGGTGCTGGACTAGGCTGGCCCCTGGCCTGAGGCAGGCTGTTCTTCTTTTCTGGGAGTGGCTAATATATGCAGAACCATGCATAGTCCAGCCACTCCCTTGGGGCCCCCCACCACCTGACCTTCTGGAGCCATGCACTGAACAGGTCTGACCTGGGTCTTGCTTCCTGGGCTCTGGGGGGCTTTGGAAAGATCTCCTGGGAACTCAGGAGAGCCCCACAAGATCCTGTGAGAGCCTTGCACAAAAGAGCTCTCTGTCTGCTGCATATATAATTTGTGTGATTCCAGCAGGCCAGCTCTCAACAGCATAAGCTCAAATCATTCAAGTTAAATGCATCCAAGCTGGGAGTTTCCAAAGGTGGGAGATTTCCAGGGACAGATGTCAAGTTAATTGGCCTGTAATTCCCAGGATCCTTCCTGGATGATCTTTTGATAATTGGTGTTTCAATGGTTCAGTGTTGCAATCTTTCAATGTTCTGAGCTGCCACCCACAGAGCGGGTTCCCCACTTGAGAAAGAAGGCCCCACTGGTGATAGCAGGGGCAGGAGGGCAAATGCAACTTTGGGGTCAGGTCTCAACATGTGGCCCCACATCCCCTTTCCCCACCCTTGCCCCTTCACGAGATCGAACACAGGAAGGGGGCAGAGCGTGGCAACGGAAGAACCTCTTATCCCCAAAAGGGCTCACTTTCCCACAGGCTGTACCAGCTCTGGCCACCAGGGGGCCTAATGAGTCTCCACAGTAACAACCAAGAAAGACTTGGGGAGAGGATGGAGGGGAGGCAGGGAGCTGAGCAGAGGCTTCAGCATCATATTCAGAGCTGGCCTGGCCAGGAGGCAACCACACTGCTTCTGCTGCCACCAGAACAGCCCCCCCCCCCGACTGGCAAGAAGGAGCCGTATCTTTTCCACCCCTGGACGGAGAAGCAGAGAAGGGGTGGAAACAGTGCGGGGGAGGAGAAAATTCCTGTTTTGCCTCAGGTAGCAAAATGGGATGTATTATTATTGTTTTTATTTATTATTATTAATTGAATTTATATGCAGCCCTATACCCAGAATCTCAGGGCGGTTCACAGAACAAAATCAAAATATAACCACAAAATATATAAGCCAAATAAAAACAACAACCTAATAACCCCCCCAAAAAAACCCCACATTTTAAAAGGATGTCAGTCAAATCAACCAAAGGCCTGGTTAAAAAGGAACATTTTGCCTGGCAACTAAAGGTGTACAATGTAGGCACCAGGTGAACTTCCCTGGGGAGAGCATTCCACAGACAGGGAGCCACTGCAGAGAAGGCCCTGTTGCCACCCTCCAGGCTCTTAAGGAGGGCCTCAGAAGATTATCTCAGGGTCCAGGTAGGTTCATATGAAAAGAGGTGGTCCTTGAGGACCAATCATACCCCTGGGAAATTTGTGTGGAATGCACTTTGGACATCTTCACCCTCAAGGAGGAAGAAGTCCACTTGAGTTTGGCCAGTGACTCATCTCAAAAAAACTAGGAAATTAAAATAAAATTCATAGACGGGACCCTGAAGGTCCCACCCCCTGCGATGCTGGCATCTCAACTGCAGCATCCATGGCAGATGGCCATACAACCTGTGCTAAAATACCTCCAAGGAAGGAGAATCTACCACCTTCTGAGGGAGATCCACGGTGGAAAACAGAGTGCCCTGCTGCTATCTCCAGATCTTTCTCCCATGAAGAATACGCTTGTCTCACAAAAGTGTCTGTTTAAAACATTTTTCTTTGGGCAACCCTATCCAAATAGTCAAATGTTGACAGCTGCTAATTTTAGTTATTTTTTAATGCTTTGACTGTTTTTATTGTTTTACTATTTCCTGTAAATTAATAGGAGTTTTTATCACAATCGAGCAGGATATACATTTTTTTGGTTAAACAGAGAACATGAGTGGCAACCACAAAAGGTGAAAAACACCAAAGGCAGCAATCAGGAATGTGAAATTAAGAATTTAATAGTGATAAATCCTGGAATAGTACGCAAAGCCTGTGGATTGGTGGGCTGAGGGAGCAGGAATATTCTGAGCAAGGGAAATTCATGTCTAGGAGCCCCAGAAGCCAGGAAGAGGCTCCAACTTTTTTGAACTTTTTTTTGGGGGGGAGGGAGAATATAAAAGGAGGGTGTATTCAAGGGGAACCGGGCTGTAGGGTGGGGGCCCCCCTTTCGTTTCTCAGGAGTTGTTTGTGCCCTTCGTGCACAAGGGGCAGTACAGAAACGGCAGAGAGGAGCCCCCTGCATACTTTTAGGAAACCTACATTTTTGACAGGCAACAGGAAAGGGGTTTCTTGGTGGGGGGAGACTGGGGAAGTTACAACTGTAAAGCAGAAGAACCTGATAATTCACGTGCCTGTGAAAGGGAACTCCTGAACAACACAACATGGGGAATTGCGGGTGGGGACCCCTTATTCAGAACACACACCCCCCGCAATGAAATCAGCTCTACACGCGTCCAGCTCCCACCCCCAGGCTGGTCTCCAGGGTTTTTAGAGCGGCTGAGGGTTAGATTAGAAGAAGGAAGGTAAAAAAATAGACGAGCGAAGACTCTGTATCTGTATCTCTCTCTCACGCACGCACACAAACCAGAGTCAACACGAAGCTGCGGGGGGCGGGACAGTCCCTTTCCCCCCCATGAATCCTGCCAACACCTTCAAGCTTTGTTTAATTCTTTGCTTGAGCCCCGAGCCCAGGAGTGACGCGGCCCCTGCCCCGGGCGGCATACAAAACAAGCCCCAAGTCTGGGAAACAGATGTCTGGGAAGGGATTATTTTCTCCCCCCGCCCCAGAGCAGAGTCCTCACCTGCGCAGTCCAGGAGGAGGAGCAGGTGGGCAGCCGCCCCCAGGATCAGGGGGGGCCAGCGGAGGAGGAGGACCCCCATCTCCCCCCAAAACGAAGCGCCCTTTTCCTCCTCCCTCCGCCGCCCTGAGGACCCGCTCTCTGCCCCGCCCGCGGAACCAGCAGCAGAACGAGACGGGATTGGCCGAGGGGGAAATATTCCGCCAATCGGAAATCTGCGCGCAGATGGCGGCACCGGTCGCTGGGCAGAATTCTAGGCACAAGTGGCGAGCGAGGCTGAAGAGGGAACGAGGAAGTTCTTGCAGCTCCTCGCCGGGAATCGCCGCCTCCCTCCCTCCCTCAGCTCTTCCTGTCCTACCTTGTAGGGAGGGCGGAGGGGGTTTCCCAGGGGAGGACCCAGGTTCAGTCCCCGCATCTCCAGGGGGGTCTGGGAATGTCCCCCTCTCTGGAACTGGGGAGAGGGGCTGTGAGATCCCCAGGGAGATGCGCTTGTGGCGGAGTCTGTAAAGCTGTCAGTCAAGCCCAACATTCCCAGAGGACTAACTGCCTCTATGTGGCAGTTTGTTGGTGGGTTGCTGCTGGGAGTGTTGACTGGTAACTGCTCGGACGCAGAGAGGGAGGAAGGTCAGGTGGTACCCGGTGAGGAAAATTTCATGTCAGCCCTCCCCAACATTGAATTTTATTTTTTTTTAATTGCCTGCAAAAATGGCAATTTTACGTTATTTCATATTTTCTTACAAAGGAATGTGGATTCTCTGCCTCTGATAACAAGTAGGCGACTATGGACAGATACTTAAATCTAAAGATGAATTGTGTTTTGGCTCGTGTTATTTATATTTATTCTTTATTTATTTAATAAAATTATTAAAAATTAAAATTATTTTTTAAAACCTGCAAAGTCCCCCCCCCAAAAAAAAACACACAAAACAAAACACCACAGCAGTAAAATCAAGAAAAATTAACAACCCTACTTTATAATAATTTGTTATTTATACCCCACCCATCTGGCGGAATTTCCCCAGCCACTCTGGGCGGCTCCCAATCAAGTGGTTAAAAAACAATACAGCATTAAAAACTTCCCTAAACAGGGCTGCCTTCAGATGTCTTTTAAAGATAGGATAGCTGCTTATTTCCTTCACACATGAAGGGATGATGTTCCACTACTTTGAAAACATGCAAAAGCTAAAATATTAAGATTAAAATTACTTCAACTTCCTAAGGATCTAGGTATGCTTGCCTAAAGAAGAATGCTTTTAGCAGGTGCCTGAAAAGAGTCTAGCAAAGGCACACGCTTTGTTGCAGTAGGCGGGGGGTTCCAAAGTGGCAGGTGCCGTCACAGTAAACAATGCACTACAGATATTATGAGGAACCTGTAGTACTGCTTGAAACTACTGAAGGGGAGGTTTTATTTATTGTGATTTCACCATGCTCTGTATTATCTGAAAAGGAAAACATTTATTTAAAAATGTATAGCAGCAATCTAATCCCATCTTGCATAGCAGCAATCTAATCTCATCATGATCAGTGGGACTTATTCCTGAGCCGATGGTGCATAAGATGGGCTGCAATCCTATGCACCCCTTGCATCCAACTTGTACCTAAACCTCTGCACAAGCCTGCACCAGAGAACTGTAGAGTTGGAAGGGACCCCTGAGGGTCATCTAGCCAAATCCCTGGGCAATGCAGGAATCTCAACTAGACCATCCCGGACCAATGGCCTATCTGTCTTCCATTTTCCCCCTCAGCCAGGACACACAACAACAGAGACTGGAGGTGGGGGGGAAAGATAAATTTTGACAGTGGGCAGATTTGTCAGGCATGCGCAGGAACAGCTTGGAAGACTTTACACAAAGAGGAACGCCACACAGGTTCCCCCCGCATGTAACGTAACAGGCAGACAGAAATACATTGGGGGAGGACAGGACAAAAGAGTACCAGAGTCTGCCCATTTTATCCTCTTTGGGATGGTGACCCTGCTCCACTGAATTGAAATTTCAGCCTTCACAACACAGGAAAACAGAATGAGTAAACAACTATTTTTGTGGAGGAGATCAAGATATTAACTAATATGCATGAAATTTCATATATAGCTATATAATCCCTAGTGTAGTTAAGACCTTTGGAGCAGGCATTTTTTTAAAAAAAGTTTTTTATGAACTGCCCTACTAGGGCAGTTATTATTCTTTGATTATTTGTCACCCCCCTCCATGATGGAACCTGGGGCGACCCACCCCCCTCCGCCCCCTTCCTACGCCCTTGCTCGGATGCATTCTTCTCATGACTCACTACTATCTAGTATATAGTTTATCTGTTAAGTAACTAAAGCCTGCCTTCCAGGAACAACTCTGTAAACTGAATGAATCTGAAAGTAAAGTAGTTGATGTTCAATATGATTCAGATTCATGGTGGTTTTGTTTGGGGGACAGAAGGGTTTATCAACCAGGAAGGTATAATATTGATAGGACTCAAACGAGTTAGCAATCACTTATCCTGCATAAACTCAAACAGGAATCGTTTAAAACTCTGTAAATTATATAAACGTTCCCACACAGTCAGTGCAAGGCAGCTTCCTGTGTCCTTTTTTTAAAAAGCCCTACATTTCTTAAACGATGGTCCCTTCTTCCTCCCAGTGTCAGAGGCAGTAAATGCATTCGCATCCCACTCGCTGGGTGTCCCCTCCCGTCCCTGCCTTGCATGATTCCTTACTGGGGGCATCTGAGTGGGTCACTGGGAGGACCGCCATGCTGGACTCGCGATGGGGCCCCTTTGGGGTGATCCAGCAGCCCCGGCTCTTCTCCTGAACCCCTCTATCTAGTGGCAGGGGGTTCCAGTGGTTAAGTGTGTGCCTTGTAATAAATGCTCAGTGTTACTGTAGCCTTATGAGGCTTTGCCCTCGGGTGGGAAAAATATTGCGCCTGGGAAAGGGAAGTGGGAGTCAACAGACACTCAAGGAATAGTTTCAGAGCAAAGGCTTTTATTTCTACCATCCATGAACTGGTAGAAGGAGCAAGTGTGATAGTTCACAAAAAGCATGCACGTCAGGAGCAAGTTTCTTGCTCAATATCTAAAGGGAATCGCCGATGATACGAATGAAGCCAAACTGAGATATCTATTAAATGATGAAGACCCCCTAAGATCACTCACGGTTGCCAGATTCTTGATCAGCGCCCTATCCCTAAAGAAGAAAAATGGACTCCTGTGCGGCTCGGATAACCCTTTTAAACCATGATCTATGTTTTAGGATGTAATTAGGTGATATCACCATTGATGTCTTTTATTAATTTATGAGCAGAGGGCGAAGTTTATGTTGCAAATTTATTGTAATGTATGATGTGGTCTTTTGTTTTGTTTTGCTTTGGTTCTTGTCTGTTTTTTGTAAGTTTTGGCGGTTTTAAATTTGGAGGTTTAAGTACATTATGTTGGTATGGAAAACTGTCATGTGGTGGGCCAATGCCCGTAATAAATATCAATAAAACAATAAAAAACATGCACGAAATTCACAGTCATGTGCACAAGCATATATACCCCTTTTCAGTTCCCTCCTCCTTTCTCCTCCCTCTGGAGTCCTCTGAGCATGAACAGAAAGCTGTCTTGGGACTATTGGGACTCTTGGCACCCTTCCCAGGAAAGGGAATGAGAGTAGTTCAGTATGTCCAAAGATGTTGCAACTAGAGTGAGATAAAAGTCAGCCTCAGGCCTGCTCCGACAGAGTCTATTCATTAGCTTTTTGAAGCATTCTTGTACTGATAAAAAGTAACGGTTTGCCCTTGCCACAGCATCTTGTGAGAAAAGCAGAAAAGAGAGGAAAAGCTGTTTTGGATTTTTAGAAGACAAAAGGAATTTTGGACAGTTTGAGGCCTGGTTGTGGGGGGGACTCCTGGGCCTAGGTGGGGTCACCTGTCCTCACCTTCCTTCATTACAACTAGGGCTGAACCTCAGGGTTGAAGTCAAAACAGAGAGAGAGAGAGAGAGAGAGAGAGAGAGAGAGAGAGATGTGACCACACAGAGAAGGGAAGCAGGTGCTGGGACACTGACAAACCCATTTGGTTTTAGCACAGGGTCAGGCCAGAGCCCACCAGCTTGCCACAATTTACTTTCTCCATGTGCTTTTTAAAGGGGCATTTTATATCTCCACATATCTCTGCTTCCTTCTCTCATCTACTGGCCCCACCATGAGTTTCTCTCCCCCTGCCTGGGACCCTCTTAAGTCTGCAGGCCCAGGGTGTTGGGGTCAGGGAGGCCCCCTTTGCCCAGTCAGCAAGACCCAGCGGCTGCCCAGCCTCTTCTGGAAGGCCCTGAGCCCAGGCTGGGTGCTTGGCCCAGAGAGTGCTTGGCCCACATCCCACTGCCAGAAGCCTGAACGTTTGAAACCTGAGCTAAGCATGGGACACACACAGAAGCTGCTGCCTTTTCCAAGAAATCAGGAGAGAGACAAGTAGTGGCCGCTCCTTGCCCAGGTACAAGGAAGCTTTGGATTTAAGGGGGGGGGCTGTGAAGTCGGAAGGTAAAGAATTATTGGGGAGTTCTTTTTTCCCAAGCTGCATGATCTCTATCATCCCTATTTCCCCTTGTCTGATGCAAAAATATTATTG